AAAAAAAAAAAAAAAAAACAGAAAAAAAGAAAGAACAGAAGAAAAAAAGAACAGGCAAAATGGAGAAACTATGTTGAGGCGAAAAACATACCTTGGCCCAGGGAGGGAGGCAAACATCACCTATAGGTGCCCCATCTTGTTTTACTCCAAAATGATATGAATTCGAATTCGTTAAAAATTCTGGCATATAAAAGAATTCTGGAATCAATTCCTTCACGTCACTTGTATTGGAAAGGCAATTTCTGTAAGTGCCTTCAATGCTTTGGAAAAGCCGGTCGGCGTGGTCAAATTTACCACCCTGGTTGAACATAGAGCAAAAGTTTTCTTTTTAAAGAATAGTTATATAATAATCAAGCCACATGTCAACAAGATATGAACAGAATAAAGAATAAAACCCAAGAAACTTAGACCCTAACAAATATATTAGAACAAGAAAAGTAACTCCGAATTCAAAATAGGAGCAGACAAAGAACTGATTAGAGCATACCTGCAAACTACGGTGAAGTGCGGTAAATGGCTCTAACCTAAGTAGGTAAAAGAGTACAATTCCCATGCTTGAGTAATGTGATCCGTAATAGAAACTGTTGAAAAGAAACATAGAGAATCGCCATCATAAATGTACATGAATCCTGGAAGAGATGCTAAAAAGACAAGAAGCAGAGATCTGAATTACCTGGGAATATCAGGATCGACAAAATTGTGGTATCTATCCTCAAACACCTGAGTTAATGAATATGAAGTGAAACACAACACTTAAGAACTTGAATGAGAAAAATAAATTGACAAACCTCAAATCGTTTTGGATCAAGGGCACCAACAGGCTTTGATAAATCTCTGAAAGTTGAAGACTTCTTTAGATCAAGCGTCTCAGATGAATAATCAGCTAATATCCATGGAAACACAGGATACTGGGTAATATCATTGTAGGATCTTCCTGCGAGGGTGTTGAGAATCATCAGATACTCAAAGTTTGTAATCTCTCTTCTCCTCCAACTTTCTCTGGCAGTTTCCGCCATTTCCTGGGCTAGACGTCTATCAACAAATGATATAGCCCCAGTCTTGTCCTTTTGTCCCTTAAGGAATACAGATTCATTTCTGGTTGCTACTATCAAGTTCCCAACGTCTTTTGCATCTTTTTGTGATGAAAAACTCAAGAATATTGGAGCAACAGAGCTAAGAAAGAAGATCTCTATAGCAGTATATCTCAGCAAATATCGAGTCCAATGGACGGCCTTGATCTATGATATACAGGAAAATAATTCATAGTCAAGGTATAATAGCATATGCACTTTTACAATTGAACCACAAGGAAGTAAAGAAATGTTTAGTACCTTGGACATGCTCCACCACCTATGGCGCTTTACACTATTATGCAGTTTATGATCATTAGTTCTGTCAACTGAACTAATATTCTCACTGATAGATGGTTTTTCAGAATCCAGATTCAAATGCATGGGCAATTTGAGAAACTTTTGCCTGGGAAGTCCTCCAACATGTTCCAGCTTGCTGTGATCAGAATTGCCCGAAGAAAAATAGGTTTTAAGAACAGATGTCCCTCCTGTACCCTCCACCAAAAACTCACCAAAGAAATGTAAGAACTTTTTCATAATGGCCAAACGCCCAGCTATTTTCCTCTTTGGTGTTACCAGCACACATGGAATTTCCATGAGAACCTGAAAATACATTAAAGAGTTAATCAAATATATAGGCATTGCAATCATTTATGGAAGTTCAGAACCAAACCTCACTGTTCTCTGATTCTGTCACCGACGGATATTCTTCTCTATCTTGCACAATTTCCTGTTCGCCACCCTCCTTTGCCACCTCAGGAAACTGTTTATCTGAAGAACCCTCAACCTCTGAGATCTTTTGCTGGCTAGACTGAGCTTCATTTTCATTTTCTTCTGGAGACCCCACATCAGTAATCCTATGAATTCCTTTAACTGAAAACTGCTTCATTTTCTCTGCAGTCAGAGTTCCAAAGCCAAGTTTGTTATCACTTGTAGACGGAAGTGCTCTGCCGCTAGGTACTACTAATGAGGGTTGACAAAGTTTATCATCAAAATGATAATTTTGTCTCAATTTTTGCCTACGACGCCATGTGTCCTCTGTTTTATCCAGTTTCCAATGCGTAACAAGGTTATTTGGGAAAGGATTCGCAGACCAAGGACCCCTTTCATCAATCAGCAAGCGCAAAGTATGAATCCACTTTTCCTGTTGAAGCAGCAACTCTAAGCAAAAATAATTGCAAAATGTAACAAAACGAAAAGATTGATAAAGGCAACAAGTCACAGAAGATATTAGCAAATTTACAGCAGCAATTTGCTGGTCCTCATCCAAGGAGAGCTGAAACAAAGATCTTCTACTCTCATCCGAAGCAAGAATTGTACTTAAAGTTCTATGTAGCTGATCCTCTAGTGCTTTCTTCTGGTTACATTCTACTGATGCGTTTTCTTCCATCCTACTTCGCAGTTCATCTAATTGCAAATTACGGTCAGCTGTCGTACACTTAATGTACTTAACTTCATCAGCAACCTGCATAATACGAACTGAAGTTCAGCATGACATGATTAGTAGATTAGAGAAAAATCACTTCAGTTCTTCCAACTTTTTTAGTTATAATAGAAACCATTTTCTTCGCCAACATCTGATTGGTATCTACATAACATTTAACCTGAATTACTATAATCTGCAACAGAAAAAATAGGAAACCAAAAGGAACAAACAAGACCCATTTATCCGACAGCCAACCTAGAGAAACAGATAACATGAGTGAGTAACAGACTATAAAATAATTCAAGGCCAGGCAAACTCTACTTTTCCCCTTTCTTTTGGGATTATAAACATTTAAACAGCCAGGAGGGTAAGGTCCCAAACATCTTGTTACTTTCACATGAGTTTAACCATCTTCTTTCACCAAAAACTATGTTTTCAATACGTGCAACTGTCAATCTTATTTTGCTTAAGGAGCCAATTCTACTAACAAAATATGGCAGAAAACTCTGGAAACGCACCGCACCAAGAAGTCGATCCTTTTGGAGGAAACTGAATAGAGTGTTTCCTTCCTTCGAATTATTACCCAAATCAGAGAAATCATCACCACTGGTGATACTCGTCGCCAGCATTGACTTCCCACAGTTGATTGTTTCTCTTATCAAGCTAGAAATGACGTGAAAGCGGGCCCCGCCGTCAAGCATCCCATACTGGGACCTAACGACAAGCAATGACCTATGCAAAAGATGAAGATCTTATTAATTTCAAACAGTACACTTGCTAAGAAAGACCACCATGAACAATCCAGGTAACAAACGAGCAATTCCCAACTATGTTTATACTAGTTATTACAATCGTTACGGTTTGTAAAAGCAAAATGGCAAAACAGCTCATAATATCACGACCTTTTGCGAAATTGCAATTTAATCACAACCTTTTTGCTTTTGCTCCATATATCTTATAACTACCTTTTGTTTAGCTGTGAAATAATATATCAAATTCACAAACTGCCCAACTTTCCAACAACACTTAAATGACATGGCTTAGGCATCTAAAGTGTCAATTGATGTAAAAAGGTTTAATCGCTCATAATACCTACTTTTTGTGCATTTGCAATTTAATCACGGCCTTTTTACTTTTGCATCAAATATCGCGACCTACATTTATTTTGAATTGGTCAGGATATTGAGCATCTGTTGTGTTTTTCAATTAAAAAAATATAAAATAAAATGACTGAGGGATGGACAAGGAGCATATGTTGTGTTCATTTTATTGTTTTAAAAGAAAAAACTTAAAATTACCAAGAATCTTGTTGAATGATCATAGGGATTTGCTATTTTGTAAAACTAGAACCTTTTTAAAACAAATATTGAAATATTCGAAGGTATTACGGTGGTGTTTTTTAATATATTATGGGTATATATTTATAAAATATACATTTTTGGGTCGGCCATGGCTTCCACCATTTTCCACTTCACCATCTGCAATAGATATATGGCGATTTTTTGGATTTCCACCATGGCCTGCCATCTGCCAGTTAAAACACTGAAATTCGCAAAAGATTATGATATTATGAGTTCTTAAGCCAAGAAAAATTACCAGATAAAAAGTTGCAGCCTATTCTTGCTTTGCTCATCATCAGCAGCCAGAAGGAAAGGCAATATAGGAATGACCTGCTGAACACACTGTGATGCTCTCTCAAGTGATGATCTACAAAGATAGATAACCATGAGGCGGTTAATAAATCTTGAGCATCTTTCCCCTCTCAATAGCATAGCCTTGTCTATAGTTTTGTTCGGCTTTCCCACAAGTGCATTACTAATTCCCCCTGAGACAACTGCTGCCATCTCAGCAGCAGGGATGTTCAGTGATTCCACCAATCCACGAGCCCTTTGGCTTAATGATGGTGCCACAAATGATGATGATCTTGGCAATATCTTGCTCGGTCCTTTTCCATTCATTTCACTGACGATGATCCAAAGGTTGTCATATAAATTCCACCACTCATCAGCAAACATTTCTTCATTCAAGTCATGCTGATTCTGTCCCCGAGAAGTCCTACTAGAAAATGAAATACTTTTAACAACAATTCTTCATATCTGAACATTAAAAATATAGGATGTTAATACCTGGTCAAGTCTTCAGCAGTTTCTCCCTGCAAAGCGTCAAGTAAAGCAGAACTTAACTCTGGGCAGTTATCTAGTTCCAAAGATTGTGGAACCGTGGAACTGCTTGCAGGAAACTGCCACAAAAGAATGATAATTTTTTCTTTCATTCAACAGAAATATTACAGTTGTCGGATGACTAAAATACAGAGTGATCTCAGGCTCCACATTAAAAATGAGAGAAAAGAAAAGATGAGACATAAAAAGCAAATAAAATAAAAGGAAAGAAATAGGAAAAGACAAACTAACAGCTGGAAATTGCATATAGATATAGAAAATCACTGTTCCACATAAAGTGCAAAATACCTAGGTATGTATTTTTTGAATTTCGCTCAAGCATACCATTATGGACCACGGTATGACAAAAAAAGATTGAACTATCTTTCAGTTAGCGAGGCTGCTGAGATAGAGAACTTATGGGGCTAACTGGATACAAACCTATCTTTGAATCTCCCTCCACCTCTCTCACATTAATATATATATATATATATAAATATATATATTATTTACACAATTGATGAAGAAGTGCGAAATAAGATCCAAAAATGCTCAAGAAAATGACTGCAACTTGAGGTAAGCCACACACCGGAAGGCAACGATCCATTTCAGATATCAGCATTTCATCAACTAATTTTACAAGGTACAATGTGTTGTCCCGACAAGGCTGAGAGAGAAAAATATTTTCTTCGGTAGATAAGTTCATCAGCTTCTGGATCAACTCTTCATACAAATCACGAAGAAAATATTTATATGAGATAACCTGCAAACACAAGACTATCATGGAGACTTATCCTTTGCTAGTTTCTAAATGCATATTAGATTTACTTTGAAGCAACACCTGGAACATACTTGTTGAGATTGAACTAGCAGAAAATTCACAGTTTCTTCTAAATTCTGCCAGCCACCTTTAACAGAAAGCATATAGTGACATAGAACAACACTGTATACATTTCTCACAAAATATTGTTCATCCATCACAGGGTCACCACGTGTTTGCACTTTCACTTTGTAATTCTTTATCACATCAAGCTTCGTAGAGGCAACCAACCAAGCATTCCATCCATTTTCCTACACAGAATGTTCTATTGTTCAGAAGACTAACTTCGTTGATAAACAAAATCTAACAACAATTTTTAGTACCATAAGAGCTTCAATGTTTGATGGATTTGAATCAAGAAGATCTAGTAGATCACCCATAATTTTTATTCTTGATGTGTGGTCCTCGCAACCCGACAAAAATCTGAAAATGAGAGGTAAAACCTGAGGAAGGAAGAACTGACAATTATTTTTGTTGTGCTTCTGCCGATCAGATTGATGATGCTTTCGCAAAACCTGCATACACAAAATCAATAATGAATTCGGCAACATGCAACTCAATATGCTTTGCACTGGAATTGAGGTACAGGAAAATGCGCAAAGATCTTGGAAATAATAAAGCAAGATGTGTAACCTGTTTTGGGCTAGCACCACCTAGAAGAGCATCAAACATCGTAGCACAGAGAAGTTCTGTCTGGGGATATTTAAAAAGCCTGTCGGCTATCATGGAGAAAATTGGTTGCATATCAATGCTAATCTTTTTATGTCTTTCAGATAAAGATTTGGACTTCCCAACAGAAATGTTGAAAAATTTCGACCCTTTCTTCTCTGCTGGCAGACCAACTAGAAGCCTTCCAATGAATTGTAAGCCCAGCAATCTAACTGGCTCAAAATCCCTGCAATGATGATATAGATGGTTTGGTAAGAAACAAGAATGACCTATAATTTTTTTTTCCAACAGATGCAACAAACAAGATGTGGATAAACGGCAAAACTTTCAAGCAATCTACACTTCGCACACTCATGGACGAGCCATGTCTTTCCAAGTACTTTCTATAGCTGATGAAGCCAAGTCATTCCAAGTACTCTTGGTAGCTCATAAAGTAAGAACATATTTGTGATTATGCTATCACATGGTCCAGAGTTTAATAGAGTTCCACAACTAACTAAACGTAATTGAAGTTCATATCCAGTTGGTACACCTAAATCAATGAACAACCTAATAATGAGAAAGCAAACAAATGACTAAACAGAACGTGAGAAAATAACAATTATTATTTGAGAAGAATTTTGTGTGCTAGAAACAGTTCAAAAAAGAGGTCAGAATCTTTTGAAGAATGTCAGGATCACTAAACAAGGATTTACAAACAAAAGACTCAACAAATAGTAATGAAGATCAGTCGTTTAAGCAAATATAATTACTTTCACTTTTTTTGGGGATTTGTTGTCAATGTATCTCAATAAAAATAGGAGATCATTCAACCAGGCAGGCTGTATCAGAAACTGGAATCTGTAACTAATGTCTTTGAAAAGCACTTACTCTTTGAAAGACGCTTTCTTTGCTTATTTCATTCTCGAATTAACAAGATTGTTTATTTAATCATCAACTCAAAGGTGAAAACACAAACTAACATCAGGAAGTAAATAACTAGATTAAAGGACAATGTTATCTTATCATCTCTTTCAACTTTCCGTACCCCAAAAGGACAATATTCAAGTAAAAATGCTTGGCACTACTATCACATAAGGAGATTTTTCTGCAATGGAAATGCTTTTAGTAAGTTTATGCTCAAATAACAAGAAATCAATCTCACACACCAATATCAAACTTAACGCATCTTAAAATACCTTGACAAAAAGTTAACAAAAATGTGACAGCCTCCAATTAAATGCACTTTCTCAAGAAAGGAACGAAGAAGTTGTTTGTGGGACACAGCACGTATCATCATATTTACAATATCTTCAACGCAAGCCTTATCCTCACAGGATTCACAAAATGCAACAAGCGCTTTTACATCAGCAGCTGTTATATGCTCCCTGCATACAAATAAACCAACAACATCTGAGACTAACAAAATAATATGTATATTTATGTAATGTTACATTTCATATCTTGTAAGCAGCAAGGAAAGAGCATTATGCAAGAATGGAACCCATACCATAAGTTTAATGTACAGTTCATACCTGAGACTCATCTCACCAAGACTTAATAAAAGGAGACGAATTTTACGTATTTCTTCTTTGTCAGGCTTCTGTCCAACACTTTGTTCTGTCATGACATACGTATTTGGCTTCCTCCCGAGAGCAGGTTTGCTCTCCAAATTATCACAGTAAAACTGCCGAACAATATCAATCACACGGGGTAGCCTACACAAACTCTTCAACAACCTCGGATCATTATCAAATTGCTGAATAAGGAACATGTACAGTTCCCGCTGCACCTTGTACACTGTGTTGACCCAAATATGGGGGTCAAGAAAGATATAACAAATAGCATCTTTTACCAGCAATTCTGACAATCCTGAAGGTGAAAGAGAATAAATTACACAATGTGCAATGCTCCATACTGTACTTACATCCAAAAACAAATGGAAGAGGAGAGAAAATTTCAGACAAATACTAGCCAAAAAGGAAAGTAGAATAAGATTCACACTTTACCGCCATTAGCAACAACACTAAACAAATGCTTCAATGATGAAAGAGTTTCCAAATTTAGCTGCTCAGCAGGAACTGAACGCAGTAAAAATCCCAGTACTGAAAATCCCGATAGCAGCAGCATCTGTTGTTGATTGGCCAAGTTATCATCCAAAGTAGATGCTATAAGCTTAATGGTTTCAGCAGTCAAGTGACCCTTGGCGATGGGAGTGAGCAACATCTGCCCAATTTGTTCATTTTTGCTGTCTCCAAACATATCACACTGAGTTAGAAGAGGGAAAAACACAGACACCCCTCCAACACAATAAATGATCTGCTGCAGCAGCCTTCGAGAGCATAGCTGAGTGCCACCCAATACAGTTGCTTCAAAAGGTTTCTTATCAAGTGCATTATCCAAAATTGGCGAAACATTAAATAATGTACGGCCATTACTTGCCTGAAAAAAATAGGTGATCTTACCTGAGTTTATAGTTAAACAATATTGTAAAATGTGGTTAACTGTATAGTATGGCACATGAAAGCGAAAGAACCTGCGCATTTATTCCAAAAATAATCTTTGATGCTAGACCATCTTTTGCATCCAGAACTCCACCAGACAAGAAATTATCAACATAAACTGAAATTTCATTATCAAGAAAGTAGTACATATAACTTGGCCCTAGAAAACAAATGCCCTGCACAAGTTCAGAAGAGATGGCATCGCTGAACAAGTAAGTGGGACCAATTTGACCAAGAAAAGGACAAGAATCTTTGACAGAATTCACGCCATTCTCTTCCTCATAGCTAGGTAGATACAGTTTAGTTCCAATCGTGCAGCTACTCAATGGTTCACTAACTTTTGCATACCTGAATTTCAAAAGATTCATGTCGAAAATCAAGGATAGTTAGCACATGATAAGACAAGATCATTGTTATCAATAGCAGATGGCGGCAAGCCAAAAAAATGCCATAATATATATATATATATATATATATATATATATGGTGGGTGGCGTGGCGGAAAATGGTGGAAGGCATGGTGGACCAAGAAATATATTTTCATATATATTTATGCACCCTAAATATATATACATACGAACACCAGAATAAAAGCTTCAAACATGACAATAAATACCCAAGAATGATTTTAGTTACATAAGAATGAGCTGAAAATCAAAGCAAATAGACAATGATCTTCAAAATAAAAGACAACCAGAAGAGTTTTTAACACAAAAAGGGCTTAAAATTAGAATAAGTAAATAAAGAGCTTAAGAAAGTAAGTACGGCAAGAAAACTGAGTTACTTTTTTTATTTAACTTACAAGAAAGAGATTATATTAAAACCAACAAATAAAGAGCTGAAACAGACAAAGGCAACCAAATGCCTATCCAAAAATTAAAAGGAGCAATAGGCACTGGAAGAAAAAATGCGAGTGAAAAGGAACACAAACAGAGTACAGGAAAAAAAAAACGATAAATAATGATTGCCGGAGGGTAGTTCTTCTCTTTTTGGTTTCTCACGGCATTTTTTATCATGGACGTATATCTATAACAATCTAGGCTGATTTTTGCAAAATTGGGGCGGTCCAGTTACTTTTTCTTGCTGAATCTGAGGGAACGGAATTTTCCGCCATCAGCGCCACGTCGCCATGGCCACCATGCTCATGGCGGCATCCATGGCACCTGCCTTGCAAAAACGAGGCGCCAATAATATGGCGGCCAGGCTAAAATCCACCACGCCATACCACCATGGCTTCTATAAAACTATACTCCACAAGATCCCACCCCTCGGAGAACTGAAATTACCTGCACTTTTCAGTGGACACAAGAACCCCATCCAAATAACATTTCAGCTGGCTTCCCCCAGAAAAAGCTCTACCAACAGAATGAACTAAACAGAAAAAGTGCCACTTCTTTCGGACAAGGTTGAACTTCAACGAAACACGTTGCCGTTTCTGATTAATTGACTGAAATACAGACATGGGGTCATTATTAGATGCATGTCATCATTATCAGTATGGCAATATGCTACCATGAACTTAAATTTTAACAAACACTTGGTTAACCGATTCTGATATGTCGCGGTAGTCTGAAATTATGAAAATGATGCAACTCAAGGTTCTGAGCTTTACCTCATAAATTAACTTGTCCTTCAAAAGAGCAGCATAGCAACCTCGTCCATTTTCTGTAAGAAAACTAAAGAGCCCCATTGATCCACTTTGAGGAAAGCTTTCTACCCGAAGCCAACATGTAAATGAAAATCCCTTGTTTACAGGCCACTGGACTGGTGTTTTGATTGAAATACCCTGCATGTATAAGTCACATGAGAAATCAGAGTGACCACTCAGTAAACTACTACAAAATGAACTTCAAATGAGAACACGCTCATTAAAGACACCGAGGGAAATAAAATTTTATATATTATATGTACGTATGTGATATTTAAGAAATTAAATTAGATAAAGTGTGTGTTACATATTAAAATTTTGACTATATGTAAATGTATAATATAAATATAAATTATTTAACTTCCGTATAAATCATTTTCCTTTTAGTTATTGTATAATTATAATACAAAATAGGAAAGAGGAAAGAGGAAGTACTAGAAGAAAGAGAAGAAATGGAGAAGCGAAAAAAGGTAAATAACTTTTTTGGGTCTCAACTTACTAAATGATTGGAGTTAGAGTTATTTGAGTAAATAATAACTAAAGATACGATGTAAACATACATTGAGTTTTCCAACAAAAAATGGATAGTGAAAGTTCAATTACAACATATGATTTTTAATAAGCTTTCTCAGTAGACTTGGTAAGATAACAATTAGCAACTTAGCTATAAAATTTCAAACTCAGTGACAGTAAGCACACTAGGACTCGTCGTTCACATCTGAGTCAATTACTAATATTGACAGATTACTGATTTACAAGTGCAGGAATGGTGGTTTCATGATTAGGAGTCAGACTATGTTGTTTAAGAGATCATTTCCTATTTCAGTGAGTATGTTGGTGTCTAGAATTAAGAAATAGAAGTTGAATATCTTCTCCTAAAAAATTAAGATTGAATGCCAATATTTTCAACTATTCATCTCACTAGAGAAAATTTCTCAAAAGGTGCACTATTCACTCATCTCACATTCTCACTTTCCCACCACAATTTATCAGTACAATTTATAAATAAAACTCAATCAATACTACACATTTTCCTACAAGTACTCATCTCACTTTTTCGCACCTCAATTTATAAATACTATTTATAAATAGAACTCAATCAATACTACACATTGTCCTATAAGTATTTACTCACATATTTCTGATGGCCACTTCAACTATAATAACAACATTTCTACCTTACACCCAATCACACTCTTCAAATTATTTGGTTTCTCCTTAAGAAAATTTCCAAACACTTTCCTTTTCGTGAAAGCAGAGTATTTCAACGAAAGCATATCAAATAGCACCCAAAATAGTTTATATAGGTTAAAGGATTTTAATTACAAGAAAACAGAGATTGTTTAAAGTGCAATACTATACTTGGGGTTTCCTTTATGCAATAACGTTGGGTGCTACTCTCATTGAAGAATGTATAGCTGTATCCTGAAAGAACTAGACTTCATTACTGTTACGGGCCTTATGTGGGATGAACTGTTGTCTAGTGACGAGGGTACTAATTACTATAAGCTCTTTACAATTTCGCCCACCAAAGAATTAGGATTTTCAAGACAAGTGCTTGTCTGAGCACTTTTCAGTGGACTTCTGAAAGTAAAGTTCATTTTCCATACTAACAGGTGTTTTGTAGTTAAATTAAAATACTTTTCGATAAGTTACTCATTTATGAATCCATTATAGAGAAGTAATAATCGAAGACTCTTTCAGAAGTCCACTTTCTGATGGCTTTTTCCAAACCACAGCTAAATTGGTTATAAAGTGATTCCAACTATTATAACTTAAATTGTTGATGAGAGAGACTTCAATATAAGGGGTTCACAATCAGGTTATAATTTCTCTTTTGAATCAAATCCATTAGGTTTGTAACAGCTATTTGTCATCATTGAGAATGAGTGATACTTCCTCTCCCAGTCTACCAGACATTTTTGTATGTTATTCGATAACCTAAATGAGCAACCCATTCAGTTATACACCCACATCATGAAAATCAAGTAGGAGTATAAGGATGGTTGGAAGAGGGATAATCAACAAAAAATAATAATAACAACAATAATTATTACGATTTGTCCAGTGAGTGAGAAGCGAACTTACAGAATCAATCCCATTTAGATCAAAGAATGCTGTTGGACCCTTCTCGTTTAGCATTGTTGACATGCTAGTTAAGAGTAACGAGCTCAAGGATCGCTGAGGCCCAATACCCTGGTTACGAAGCATTGCGAAAAATTTCCGGATATCCTTTCCAGATATGCTATGCCCACCAATCACTTGTATTAACTGGGAGATTTTCCAAACCAGAGTTTCACAGCTGTCTTGTGAAAACCAGTTCAAAAGAAAGTCAAGCATTCCTGCTCTAACACATGACGCCCGATTAGATAGGGAATCCCTTAGCAGATGCAGGAATATATTGAGCCCATGCTGCTGCAGTGGATCACTGCTCTGCCCAATCATCAGAAGATGGTGGAGGAATTTAGTCAGACAAATTTTACATTTTATCAAGAGAAAAAAGGAAAACAGAAACACAGTCCATGCAGATACACAGAGGTCAGAAGATAACTCAAGATTGAGAGCAACAAACCTTTTGAAGGACACTGAGATAAAGCAAGATCACATCTTCATTCTGAGAAACAAGCAGCAAGACTAATATGAGGAACATAAGTAGATGAATGGAAAAAGTCATTGAGGTCCAAATAAAATGATATTTTTATTTCATTATTTCCCAGCTTGAACCACATTTACCTTTATAACAGAATTCACTTTCAGATCAAATTTCCCATCAACCAACATATCAAGCAGTGAACTTAAAAGTGCTTCACTGGGCTGCCACTGGCAGAAATCCAACAACAAACTCTGTAAAGTGTGATAACTCTTTCCAACAAGGGCCCTAAAAGCAGCCTTCAAGATTGAGGGAGGGAATAAAAAGAATGAAAAGGTTAGCATGGTATAACAATATAAGAGATGATGGAACCTATTCATCAAGCTCCTCTAATATACAGTTATCTCCTTCTCTAATGTACACTTATCCGTAACATGTGCATCGTTCATTGACTCAAGAAGATAACAGAAATGTGAATTTTTCAGCCAAAATAAGACGTGTAGACTCTTTTGATTCAAATCTGCACCTTCAGATCTATTTCCCATTTTTCCTTATGTTTTATCTTTCT